GGGGGGGGGGCACGTGTGTCTCGTCCCGGGCGCCGTCAACCGCGAAAAATGTTGCATTCACGATATGTACGCCGAGCCGCGCCGCGCCCGGCCGCGCCACGCACGACTCGGCCCGGATGACTTTCTTCCCAGCAGTCCATGACGACGATACATCCGCGATAAGGTCATGCCCGGCGTGTCTTACCCCGGAGCCCGCCCCTCCCCCTCCAGACTGTCTGTCCGTCCGTCTGTCTGTCTGTCTGCTCGACGTCCGTCCGTCCGTCCGTCTGCATACCTGCCGGAACGGTGGTCCCCATCCATCTAACGCGTTCAGGACAGTCCGTCCGTGACACACGGCCCGGGGTGCCCCGACCCCGGTGTCGCGTTTCATACGACGACGACCATTCGACGACAAGCAGGACCGTCATTTAGCCTGCTATCTCTCGTGGCCCTCCTGGCGATAGAACAACGAATCCAGTCCCAGTGTGGGCGGCTCGAGGTTCGAATCCCGACGGCGGCGGGCGGGCCTCCGTTTAGGCCTGGCCCCCGTCGTCATGCGCCGGCGGTCCTGACAGCTGCACTTGGTGGAGCTGACGAGAGCAGCGGTCTATCGGGACCTTAGCCCTCGAGACTCGATCCGCCCGCCAGCTGGTTTTCAATCGCCCCTTCCTGGGCCGCCCCCCGTCCCGCCTCTCCTTTCCTTTTTATCCGCGTTTTTTCCCCGTCCTGAACGGCTGTCAGAACTCGCCGACGCTCCACCGACTCCATAGTGGACCGGAGGAGGTCACTGGGTGGACAGGATCAACTCAATAAAATCGCCGCCGACCAGAGTTAAACATAAGAAGACAGATCGGGATCAGAGCGGCTGGGCGGTCTAGGTCCAGTGTCTCGGCCGAAGCATTTCTGTGAAAGGCCTTTCTCAGACTATTCTAGTGGAACTTTACCAGGGAAAGCGATTTTGGCGAGCAAGTTGTCCGGCTCAAGTCAGAACCGGAAAGAGCAGATCTGATGCACGACTTCCAATCACGCCGATGTGTAAGATAAGGTCTAGCATTCTAGTCAGGAGCGGCGATGATGAAGATTTAAATTATTCACTAACCGGTTAACCTGGAAAGATCCATCTATGAGCAGCATAAGAGCTGTCCACGCCAACTCGATAGGCAAAAAGTGACACTCTGATTATTATTTTCTTCCACATTAATTGATGCGCCTACAGGTCCGACGCATGACTTCATAGGAATTTTGCAAAAATCTCAACAAGTGGGAGGCGGACCAAAGTTGCGCCCCCTACAAATTACTATTTCACCCCCGCGCCGCGCTGGGGCTGTTTTGGATTTGCGCGCGCTTTGATGGTGCCAACGACTGGCGACGGCTAAAGTGGCCACTCCGGTCAGCGCATCGTGTCATCGCGGTGACGCTACCGTCCCCCGTTTCCCTCATGCGTGTGGCGAGGCGCATGAGTGTATGGGAGAGGATAAACAATAAAGGCGACACGCACTCGCAGTCACCATCGAAATCACAAATGACAAAAAGCTAACACTTTACACTCGAACCAGCCAAAGAATGCTTCTCGATAGCATGGGCGCTTATGGGAACCAGAAGCATTCTTTCGCTGGTCAGACTATAAATGCAGACGACTCACCGCTAACTTCTTTCGCACTCCAGTTTGCGGTCGGACAGCCGCGCTTCACTGAAGGAGGGTGGGGCGGAGGGAGGCGATGTTCACGATGTTCACCTTCTCGACATAAAGCTGGGTCGCGCGATTAGTGAACTTCTCCTTCCAACGCTCAAAGATGCTTTTGGCGTCGTCCGCAATGCACACACCGCACACACACTACGTCACTGTTGTTGATGTTGTTGTCGATGTTGTTGTTGTCGTCTGCTTTGGCCCGGTCCGCGCGTGGTCGTTTGAGCCCCGTTTGCATCGACGGTAGCGTACGAATGAGAACTAGCCAGTTTTTGTTTTATTTTTACCTTTCTCCAACATGCGGATAGCACAAATATTGCCCCTCGACGACAACAACAACTTTGGAGTAACTCGCACTCGCGGCCGGCGGGCTCACTCGACGCGCGTCTGAAACGCTCGTTTTCGTTTCATGCGATTTGAACGGATCACACGAGCACAAAGCACAACTTGTTGAATTCTTTCGGTACAACATTTCCGCGACGCGCACCACACACTCGAAAACAAACCGAAAACACGTATGCGCTCGATGCCGGCCGGCTGGGCTGGGCTGACTGCGGGCGGCGACACCTGAGTGTGAGTGGCCACTGAGCGACACTCCGCACCGGCGCGCACCCAGCCAACAAAAGCTTTCCGAGAGCGGCGGCGCCTCGGTTTGAACCTGGCTCGGGGGCGCCGATCAGCTGGAGGGCATCGATTGGCGGAGCAAAATCGAGTCACTTTTCACTTGTCGAGTGGAGAGCGACTTTTATTTTCCAAATCACGCGTGGGAGGGAGTGGGGTATGTTTCGACATAGCTTCGTACGTCCAGCTGACCATTTCTTTCTCTTATTCCGCCATGGGCACCAACCAGGAAGCCGTATCAGGCACACTTACGCATTGCTACCAAACGAAAGGAACAGCGAGCGCGTTGTGCCCTGCCGTCCCTGCCGTGTGTGTCCGGCGGGATAGGAAGTGAGCCAGCCAGTCGGGCTCGTGACACTTTCCGACCCGCTCGGACGAGGCGCCAGCCCCCGCTAACAGCGCGCCAGCATTGCTCCGGAACTGTAACCGTCAAAGACCACGCGAGAAAGAGAGAAAAGAGGGGGGGGGGGGAGAGAGTGAGGGAGAGAGGCTCCGGAACTGTAACCGTCAAAGACCACGCGAGAAAGAGAGAAAAGAGGGGGGGGGGGGTCTTCTAGTCTGCTGCGCACGGAGGATGCGTTCGTGCGAGAAAGACGCTGTACCGCCCTATTTCATATCCCACACTACTTGTGACATGATGACGATGACATATGATACATCCTGATCCCGACTGCACGCCGCTCACGCCGCTGCTTGTCCTCGTGTCTGCAGGAGCGGATGGTCTGTTCTGGAACGCCATGGACCTGCGGTACTGGAAGTGCATCTACAAACGGACCAACACCTGCCCCGACCCGGACATCCAGTTCTACATGTACTCGAGGTGAGTATAGCGTTGTCCGCGACGGGTCGCAACCCGCACGCAAACCTTTCTCGCGCAACCCACTGTCTGAACAGACGCCCTTCTCTGTCCCACAGCCACAGCCCGTACAGGAAGAAGATCGACATGAGGTCCACGACGGCGCTGCGGTACGGTGGCTGGGACCCGCACAAGAAGAACGTCATCATCGTGCACGGCTTCAACTCGACGGAGCGCAAGGCGCCCATGACCATCATCCGGGACGGTAAGCAACCCCGCGCGCCACATGGGGTTCGTCGTGGTGGTGTACCGAGCCCGGTCTCTGACGGCGTGCCTCCCTCGTGTCCGCAGCCTTCCTGTCGCGGGGCGACTACAACGTGTTCACGGTGGACTGGGAGCCGCTCACCATCTTCCCGTGCTACCTGTCGGCGCTGAGCAACACCCGCCTCGTGGCGCAGTGCGCGGCGCAGCTCTACTCGCACCTCACGGCGCACGGCGCGCACGCCAAGGACACGCTGTGCGTCGGCCACTCGCTGGGCGCGCACATCTGCGGCATGATGAGCAACCACCTCGACAAGAAGATGCACAAGATCATCGGTGAGTTGTTGTTGCGGGCGCGGGGCGCACAGCGCCGGCCGGGTGGGCAGCCCAGCGGGCGCGGTGAGGCGCCGCCGCCACCGAGTGCGCCGGTTGGGCTGGCAACCCATCCGGCATCCGGCCTCACGACGGAGAAAGGGAAATGGAGGGGAAGGGGCGGCTGGCGGGGAGGACGGCGGGAGGGGCGTGGACGCTCGTGCCACCCTGGACCTTAGGTTTATCTCAAATTATTCTCCTAGCACACCACCGGGCACCGCACCGGCAAAACGCCTGTGCATGCACTGAGAGTGAAAGCGTGTTGTTTGTCTTCCAATTGCAGGGCTGGACCCGGCGCGGCCGCTGCTCGACCGCTACGGCAAGCGCGCGCTAAAGCTGACCCGGGACGACGCGCACATAGTGCACGTGGTGCACACCAACGCCGGCATGCTGGGCGAGGAGCCGCAGGTCGGCCACGCCGACTTCTGCATCAACGGCGGCCGCGTGCAGCCCTCGTGCAAGGGCCACCGACTGCGTGAGTGTCTAGGGTTTCCTAACTCAAGCTTACCCCGACTTTCCCCGAGTTTCTCTGATTTTTAAAAATTGATTTTCCCTTGATTTTTCTCATTTTTGATTTAATTTACCTTGATTTCTCTGATTTTAAAATTGATTTTCTCTTGATTTTTCTGAATTTTTGGATTGATTTTTCCTTGATATTTTCCATTTTTCTCTGAATTTTCTGGAAGTTGGAAGTGTATACATTGATTCACTGCACCTGCTTCACGTTACTATGAAACGGGGAAACTGGCGAGTCTCTAAACGGCCTCGTTCGCCACCCATCTCGTTTGCAGGCAAATCGCGATGCAGCCACTTCTTGTCGGCGTGCTACCTGGCCACGGCGGTGGCGCACCCGGGCCGCTGGTACGCCACGCCATGCACCAGTCGCTGCCGACCCCTGGCCGGGTCGCTCATCGCCAACCCCGGGCCCAGGATGCCGTTCGGAGAGCACACCCCCGACAGCGCGAGCGGCACCTACTGCATGGCCATGCGGCTCCACAAAGACTGCCCCTTCGACTGAGGCCCCGCCCTCCTGGCACCCAAGACTAGCAAACCAAAAAATGCTCATTTAATTTAATTTTGTCGCGTAGCGCGTGTTTCCGAGCACGCGTTGGTGCAGAAGGTTTTGCCTACCCGCGGGCGCTGTGGCGCCTGACGGGCAGAGGTAGTTGGTAAACCCTTTCGCACGGCGCTTGCACCGAAACATTCGGTACGTGTCGTGCCTGTGTGTGTGTGAATGTGTCTGGAGTTGCGTTATCAACTGACGTTATTTATTATGTGTTTGTTTTTATTTAGTTGCATACTGCGAATTTCTGGCCATACTACCGAATTACTGGAACACGTTTTTAAAAAATGGCGATTTTTTAAAGAACAAAATAGTAACGAGAATGAAAGGAGACAATCATATTTGACTTTGTGAATACGTAGTCTATATGAAAGACGGGTACTTTACACTGATAATAGTCAAGTCAATAGTTTTACTTGTAAAAATTGCACTGTTAATGTTTGAATTAACGGTAGGATGATGTAGCCTGCTGTCTCAGCATCAGCAGGATTACTTGATTTTGCCATACGTTTTGTTAATTTGTTGTCTGTTACGTTTTTGTTGACTTCGTTGTAATTATATGTGGTCGTGTTTTAATTTATTGCGATGTGATTGTGGTGAGCGTCAGTCTTTTTGAGGCAGGGTCTTTTTCTCTTGATGACAAAGTACAAAACTTTACAACCGTTAGTTCGTTCTTGACGGCGTGTGCCTGGCGCTCAGCCAAAACAAACTGTTTTGCGAGATCGTTCCGAACCGTCACCGCCGATGATGTGCTGTATACGGTAGGCTACTGTCTTTGAGGTGCGCTGCCATGTCAGTTTAACAAAACATGTCAACAGCATCCTCCTTGTTAATATGTAATATATCTCTAATATTTAAATATACTTTACATACTTTTAATCGGAGTTCTTTTAGCCCGATCCCTACATCCACTTATTGCTCTAATAAAATACTTCCTCACTCGCCCTCCTTGCCTACATACCCAAAAACCCAAAAAACCGCTTCTTCGTCGATAGGTAGGGAAAGGTAGGGAAAAATGGGGGGTAACCGATCGATTTGGCGGCCAATGGACATCGCCGGATTGGTGTTGGGGCTTTTAATGAGCGCGAGATAGGGGCCGGGCGCGAGGTACCTGGAGGTACCGTACGTAGCGCATGGTGCCGCGACAGGTGGTGGTGGGGGCCCGCTGGGCACGCGGGGCCCGCTGACCCGGCCCGGCCCGTGCCCGTGGTCGGGGCCCCCCGGCCGCCCCCGGCCTGGCCGGCGCCCCGCGGAGGCTACACCTTAGTCCTCACCGGCCCGCGAGCGCCATGGGGTCGTCAGGACCGCGCCGCCACCTCGGCAGCCTCGGCCTCCTGGAGGTCCTCATCGCCGTCCTCGCCGTGGCCCTCGCCGCGCTATCCGCCGCATCGACTGCCGCTGCAAGTGAGTCTGCCGTTGGGGTTAAAGGCAGGAGTGACTATAGCTAGACACATCTCGCGGGTGTTTACACCAGGTATGGGCGACTGGAGGCCCGACCACCCACTTTCGAACTCACACTTTGTGACCGCTTGTGACACGTTACGAACGGAATGTAGGCGGGAGCAACCTTGGCGGGAGAGCGGGTTTGCCTATCGCCCCTCTGTCAATAAAGCATTCCGGTAAAGCTCATATGCAAAAGAATGCGAGGAACAAGAAAACGAAAGTCACCATGTTAAAGCATAGCGATTTCCGTTTTCTTCTTCCCCGCATTCTTCTGCATATCAGCTTTACCGGAATCCTTTATACGCAGGAAACCCCTCCCGCAGGCGTGCATACACGAAAAAGAAAAGAATTAGTTGTCACAACTAATAAATTGGCTAATTTGGGGGTGGACAAGAGGTTCGCTGTGGCAGCTAACAGTTGGTTGCCACAAGACAAGCGTTAGTTAAGTTGCCACAGACAAGAGTTAGTTACCACAGCAAAGCTGTCGCTGCAGGAGCCAATTGTTTCGTTCTGACAACTAGTTGAGTGTTTCGCTGTCAGAACAAACCGATTCGCTCCTCCAACGACAGCTTTGCTGTGGCAACTCACTCTTGTCTGTGGCAAATAACGCTTGTCTGTGGCAACCAACTATTAGCTGCCACAGCGAATTTGGGATTAGCCATCCCAAAATTAGCTAATTTGTTAGTTGTGAGGACTATTTTTTTTCCTTGTGCGTTGCAGTAAAACTACGGGAGTGGACGTGGTGAACTAGTGACCCCTCCTGGTACCCCGTGTGTTTCAGAGCTCGCACTGATGCGACCAGGTTTCCCTTCTCACAAGGGCTATAGCGCCTTACGAGCATGGAGAGTAGGCAAACCCGCCGGCACCGGCGCGTGCTACGGAAACACAGGGTACCTTAAACGTTCCTTTATTTCGGGAAGAAAAAGAAAATCTAGCACGCGTTCACTAGAACGGATGTCAGTAACGCGTCCAGTCCAGATAGCGGGCCGGGCTGCGGGAAGACATGGGTGTTCGACACTCGTCAGTAAAGATTGACATCCGCTGCAATACGACTGCTCTCCAAAGAGCGCCGACAAGCGCTATCAGCAGATGGTCGCGGGGGCGACCGGCGGGGCTGTTGTTGCGAAAAGCGTTCCGCCCTACCCCCCCCCTCCCCCCTACGTTTTTCGGTTGACACCTTACGTGTTTTTTATGACCGAAAACTTTCTTGTAGGGACCAATGTTCCCAGGGTTTTTGGTGTTCCGCGAGTGTTAAGCTCGTTTCGAGAACGTTCGCTTCCAGCAGGCGCCGCCGCCACCGGCCTGGGCCTTGTTGTTGTCGTTCAGTTTGGGACACAATGCTCGCCTTCATTGGGCCGGGCCAGGTGAGGGTCGGAAGTCCCCCGCATGAGTCCCGTTGAGGTGCCTGCCTAACTGTGCCGTATATGTGTCTCTCTCCGGGCCAGTTGACGCCCCCCCCCCCTCCTTTACGCGCGCGCTTCTCCGGGCGACGTGCTCAGCCTAAGAACACGCCCAAGACTGAGACATCCGCTTTGGCAGGCGCCTTGTGGGTCACCCGCACACAATAGAACTATATCGTGCTCACAAAATCAGATATGACCCAATAAATCCTCTGAGAAAAAAAAACAAGAAAGAAATAAAACCTACTGGAACTACGTGTCGACTCTGTCAGTGTTGCGCGGTACGCAACAGGCTCGGCAACAGGGCTGCCGCCCCTGCTGAAATAAGTGCTGACTTCGATGGGTAGGTGACGAGCATGCCTGACGGAGTCTCGGAGAGACCGAGCGTGGAACAAAGGTAATCCAGACTTCTCATTCTTAGGTCTCCCCATTGCTCTAAAGTTCCCCCAGACCAGAACAACTGGGCTCATCCCTATCAGCTACACGGTCCACTCCCTAAACAGCTTGGGCCGGTATCTCGTTGTAGTTGAACATCAGAGCACCACCTTTCCCAGGCGAGCCGGCGTGTCCATCCAGGTGACCCCGACACCGGGGTCGCCGTCCTGCTGGCCTCCTTGCGCGCCCATTCCCCCCTCCCTCTTTTCCTCGCCGTCCCTCATCACCCCGTCTCACCCCACGCTCCGGATCAACTGTTACGGTAGTCCTCGATGGCCATAGCGAGCTGCCCGTGCACGTGACGGCTCGCGACCCTCCCGCTGATCCCCCGCCCCGCCCCGCCACGCCCCGCCACGCCACGTCCTCGGAGTGGCCAGTGGTGGTCAGCAGAGGAGCCCATCGCGCAGTGACCCGAGTACTACAGTAGCAATACCACGCTGACAACTTCTCCTCTAGAACAACGGGACACTTGACGCATTATTCCCGACGACGCCACTAATTTTGTAGAGTACAGTACCCGAGTACCCCCACCATCACCACCCCTATTTCTCACACTCTTTTCCTCTCCGTCTAAACACACACACTCACACAGCTCGGTGGCCGACCCGCGGTTCCTGCGGTCAAGCGCCTTTTGCCCCCCCCCCCTTTCCTTCATGCCCCACAACATGTGTAACGTCCACCAGAGTGAGAAGAAAGTGGCCGGCAGCAGGAAAGCTTTCCTCTTCCTTGAAACACGAAACTCTTCCTGCGTGCGTCACTGCGTCACCTCGCATTAGAGGGTAACGGAGGAGGGTGATCACTGATCACCAAACTGTGCGGGGCTGACCTACCTGGTCCTGGAGGCTGGAGGCCGCGGCGCCGCACGTCGCATCATCGTGGACGTGCATAACCGTGTGTCCCGTGTCCTCAGACGACGACGCGGAGTGGGACGCCGTGTCCGAGTACCCGGGCGCCGAGCGGCAGGGCGCCATCCTGCAGGCGCTGTCGCTCGGCCTCAACTTCACCAACGTGTCCAGGAACGACTGCGTCTGGAGGAAGCTGCAGGAGTCGCACGACGCGTGCCCCGGCGAGGATGTGACCGTCCACCTCTACACCAGGTGAGCGGCTGGGGTAACGCATGTCACGTATTTTACTCCAAAAAATATTATATTTGCAATTGTAAAGTTATAAACACTTAGTCGTAACTTCAAGTTGGCAAAAAGCGACAAACAGGGAAATATAGGGCAATTCCAGAGAGGATGGCTGTCAGTGACGGCATACGCAAACACACACTTAAAGGCGTGTTGGAGGCGAATGAGAGGTGCTACAAATTGTTGAGACACATGAATGGACGCGTAGTCTCAAGGGCGCATCCACTCGTTGTTGTCCATTTGCAATTCGCCTACAATTTGTGTCGTCACTGACGGACACGAAACGGAACTCGATTTTGCTTTGTAAACATAATATTTAACGAGAATTCCTAAGGTTGTTTCCTTTTTTCGGTACATGACTTTCGCAGGAGAAAGTTCTGACGAATAAATATAGACACGTTTTTTTAATTGTAAATGTAATAGTTTAGCCAAAACATACAAAATATGATGATTTTTGTGCACTTTGTGCGATCTGGAATTGCCCTATAACAATGAATCATGTACTTTCACAGTTAAAATTCAGATAAAAAATGAAAGACGACTTAAAGCTAATATTACTTCCTCTTTTTTCAAATCGTATAACTCGAAGGCGAATCCAAAACCGAGCACTAGTAGAAACTTTTCTGCTGCGCTGAATACAGAACATTTAAACGTCACTGATGTGCCTTCGGAGATGAACACGCAGGCTACCGCTCTGCGAAAATTTCTTGTGGCACACAGAGCAGCCAAAGGGCTTTTCGCCGGTATGGGTGCGGAGATGTTTAACCAGGCCTCCACTTTCCGAGAATTTCTTGTTGCATACAGAGCACTCAAATGGCTTTTCACCGGTGTGGGTTTGAAAATGAACACCTAAATGTTCACTACGGGAGAATTTCTTGTTGCATATAGAACATTCGAAGGGCTTTTCACCGGTGTGGGTGCGGAGATGAACCCGAAGAGATGCACTCACAGAAAATTGTTTGTTGCACACAGAACACTCAAAGGGCTTTTCACCCGTGTGGGTGCGCATATGAACACGCACCCTAGCATTCATCGAAAATTTCCTGTGGCATACAGAACACCCAAAGGGTTTGTCACCAGTGTGGGTGCTGAGATGAACACGCAGGCCACCACTTTGCGAGAATTTCTTGTTGCAGACAGAACACTCAAAGGGCTTTTCACCTGTATGGGTGCGGAGGTGAAGACGAAGATGTCTGCTTCCTGTGAATTTCTTGTTGCATACAGAACACTCAAAGGGTTTTTCACCGGTGTGGGTGCGGAGATGAACACGCAGGCTATCACTTTGCGAGAATTTCTTGTTGCATACAGGACACTCAAATGGCTTGTTGTGGCGGTGCTGCGAATGCACATGTCCCCTCGACTGTTTTTCTCTATGGCAAGGGAGGTGTACACCCTCTGGCAACATTTTGTTGCTCTAAATGGAATCGATTGGTTGGTTTTCTCTGTGGGTTCTCACGTGAGTGATGATTGTTTTTGATGTAAACTTCTAAAGACAAACGCCACATTTGACGACCATGTTGATAATCTTAAGTGGTCATGTTTCGTTTCTGAAAAAGAAAAGAAATATTGCAGTCATTTTCTAAAATGTGGAACTGTTACATCTATGTATCTACATCTACATCTTTATGCCCTTGGCATATAAATTGTTTCGGGGGGAACAGGCTGACTTGTGCTACGGTTACTCGCCCCTCACAGTCAGACAATTCTTCCTCAACAATTGGTCCCGCGATTACTCGTCCCAAATTTTTTTAATTATTAGTACCAAATAAGGGAGAGTGGGGCACCTACTGATACTTTTTGGATTTCCAGCTTATTTCGCTTATTTTCGGTGAAATGATGTGCGTGAAAGCTTAGGTAGCTTCTTGCGACCCTCGTCGAGGTAATGAAGTCGGTCGGTGGTACGATAACTTAAGGACCATGTGTGCCAACGAATTGGCTTCAAACGGAACCCTGCATTTATCACTCTCGGCCCGGCCCTAAACTGAGGCTAATTACTCAAAAGGATAATGTGAAGTCATACAAAAGGGGACTAGGAAGCAGCCTAGAGGCATTCTTTCAAAGCTTGAGGAAGTTTTGTGTGGCAGAGTATTTCGCTGCTGCTTCAGCTTCAGGCTGTTCCGTAGTCGTCCCAGGATCGGAGGGGACAAAAAAGGGGTGGGAAGGTAGGACAAATAGGGGACAAATAATTAAAACTAAGGACGAATCTCTTTGGACAAAAAATAAATAAAATAACAGAATGACTGAGGACATAGAGACAGAGTTCCAGTCCTCAGGGTGGCGAATTGTGAGGGGACGAATCAACATGGAGAGTGTTTTAGGTGTTTCTTGCAGGTGCTCAAATTTTTAGGGTTTGCCTACTTCCTTCGGCCGTGAGGCGCCATGGCCTCTACCGCCTGAGCGAGTAATCAATCCCGCAACACTGGAGCGCATGCAAAGAAACACCCGGGACGTAAAAGTTTTGGGTACTTTTCAGTGGGACTGTTTGAGAAGGTTGAAGGCAGGCCACTGGCTCTGGGGAGTCGCCTGAAAGGTAGGTAATTTGTGCCACAAAACCCCTGTAAGTAGGCAACCCACGGTCCCGCCACCCCTCCCCTCCCCCTGTCCCCCGGACCTTATACCGCGCCTGGTTAAAGGGTAGGTCGGAGAAGAGCAAATTCTACAAGTAAGGGTTGTGTGACATTATGAAGACAACGGGTCACATTGCTGTAATACCTCAAACACTCAAAGTACTACCTAACCTTACCTTATTATTTTCTGCACCGTGTCCGCGCCGGCTGGGCTCTGCCTTGTGACTGCCCGCTCCGCACTGATCGAGGTCGGCGTTGAGGCGTCTGGTCGCGCCCTGGTCGGCTTGCACTTGAGATCCGTCTGTCGTCCCGCCGCTGTACTGCGCGCAACGAATTCCCCACCATGCTCTACACGGGAAAAAACTTAAACCTAAAAGTCGATAGGAAAACCACATTCTGCCACGCTGCTCACGCCAAGTGAAACGGAAATAAGGATCAGTGTAAATCGCCGATCTACGGCGGAGTTTAACGTTTGAAGCGAGCCCCTAAATCCTGTGTCACTCCCCCTCGCAGCACCAACGAGTCTCGTCTCGTCAACGTGTCCGAGGCCAACAGCCTGCTGGAGGGCGACTGGGACCCCCAGAAGCACACCATCGTGCTGGTGCACGGCTACGGCGGCGCCCACGACACGCTGCCGCTGACCATCCTCCGCGACGGTGAGTGTGGTGGTCGTAGAGTTGGTAGAAATGATATCGAAACGACGTGAAAACATTGAATGTGCCCGCAGCCTACCTGCTGGCCGGCGGCTACAACGTGCTGGTGGTGGACTGGTCGCCGCTGGCGCGCCTGCCCTGCTACCCGGCCGCCGTGCACAACTCGGTGGTGGCGGCGCGCTGCGTGGGCGGCGTGGCCCGGCTGCTGCGCGACTCGGGCGCCCGCGGCGACGCCTGGACCTGCGTCGGCCACTCGCTGGGCGCGCACGTGTGCGGCGTCATGGCGGACACGGTCATGTTCCGCGTGCACAAGATCATCGGGCTGGACCCGGCGCGGCCGCTCATCCGGCCGCAGAACAAGCACCGCCTGGACGCCGGGGACGCGAGCGTCGTGCACGTCATGCACACCAACGCGGGGCACTACGGCGAGCTGGGCGCCATCGGCACGGCCGACTTCTGCGTCAACGGCGGCCGCAGCCAGCCCTTCTGCTCCGCGGCCAAGAGTAAGTCACCGAGGGGTAAACTTCACTCAAAAATTCAGTGTACACCCTCCACAAACGCTGGGGAAAAAATGTAAAAAGATATAAAACAATGTGAAAAGGTCCCAAAATTTTTGAAAAATTTAGGAGAAAAATCTGAAGAAAATTACAAAACAGAAAAAATATTAAAAAATCAAGGAAAAACAGAAAAGATCGTGTACGCTTGAATGTTTATTGAACAAGTACATCCCCGCGCTGCGTGTCGCTCTTCGCATCCAATTGACATTGAGTGTGGTTGGGTGGCAGACCCGAACCTGTGCAGCCACCTGTCGTCCATCTGCTTCCTGGCCGACTCCATCGACGGCCAGTCGCCGCTGGTGGCCGAGCCGTGCGGTCGTCGCTGCCCCAGCGCGCGCCGCCAGCAGAGCGAGCACAAGCAGCGCCTGGGGCTGCCGTCCTCGCTGGGCCAGCACACCCCGGACAGGTGGGTCAGCGTCAGCGAGAGAGGGTAACCGATGACGGATCGTTGCGGGCTGCAGACCGCACACTTCTCGCGACTTTCCCGTCGGCTGTTTTACATTCGAAGGCCTCTCTGACCGCACGACTCTGCCCACAGTGCATCGGGCACCTTCTGCGCGACGAGCGACGCGGAGCCCTACTGCCAGAGAGAGCCCGGCGGCCGCGGCCACCCGCGCTGCTGCCCGCCGAGGCACCAGGCCGCCACCACGACCACCACGGCGGCGCCCAGCACGGCCGCGGCCACCACGACGGACGGGGCGGACGCCGCGAAGGACGAGGCGGCCGCGACCGCAGCGCAGGTGACCGCAGGGCCGAGCACGGCCAGCACCGTGGGTAGCACCCTGGGCACAGAGGCGGCGACCGAGACCCCGGCTCCCACCACCGAGAGCAGCTTCAAAGTGGGGGCCGCGCTGCCTGCCCTGCCCACCACGACCACGACCACGACCACTACGACGGCCGCGTCGCATGGATTTTCCCCCGTCACATTTCCCATGAGAGGTACTGATTATGGAACGTACAACTATATTGTACTTTTGACAGATACTTACACGGCCATAAAACAAGACCTCCTTTGTTCTATGAACGAAAGGTGATTCACATTCCTCTGCTTCTTTAAAAATAAGCGTCTCTTTCAGCCGACAGGGTGACCCTCCCCGACCAGATGAGCTCCCAAGTCGGCGACCAGATCCCCGAGACCACCCAGCAGGTCTTCTCCCCGACGACCGTCCGCCCCCTCTCGTTCCCGACGCAGCCGCCCGCGTCGCCCGCCGACCAGGACCCCACGGTGGACGACATCCCCGTGGTCATGATGCCCCCGCCGATGCCGCTGCCAGACTGGACGCCCGTCATGTTCGTGGACGACAAGGGGCTGCCCGAGGCAGCGAGGCCGCAGGAGCCGCTCCTCGTACCGCAGCGTCCGTCAGCGCCCGCCAGCCCGCTCCCCGCCATGCCCTGGGACCTCCCCGGGGACGCGCAGGGCGCCTCGCTCCCGGGGTGGACGTCTCCGCAGCCGATCACTCCGCAAAGGTGGACGCCGCCGCCCATCAGGGTGCCGTCAGAGCCGGTGGCGGTCCCCGCGGCCCCCGCGACCCCGCCGCCGCCGCCCGCTGTCCCCATCAGGTGGCCCACCGCCATCCCCCCCGGAGTCCACATTGTCATGCCATCGAATGACACCTCACTGTGAGTGTCTGTTCAGGTCCCATCAATCTATGTTTTGTGTGGCTGAGAAGCCGCGCCCCCAAAAGTGTTAGTTAAATAGCACCGCAAGCGGGCGGGATGGGCTATCGTTGCCTTTCTATTCGTGCGACTGTGGGTCGTCTAGAAATAAGTTAGTCCGTCCGTCCGCACGTCAGTCGCCATTACGAACCTGCCAAGTTCAGCCTACGGAAGCTTCCATGGCACATAGCGCCTGGTAGGTAGGCAACATCTAGCCTGCAGTGCATGCGTGTACTGCGGGGTGGCCTGCCCTGAGTCTCACAGGCGCTGACCTCCCATAATGAAGCATTCCGGTAAAGCTGAAATGCAGAAGAATGCGGAGAAGAAGAAAACATGGTGACTTCCGTTTTCTTATTCCGTATTGTTCCGTATTCTTCTACATTTCAGCTCTACCGGAATGCTTTATTGCCGAATAAATCTGTGAAAAACGGACGTACTTTCTGGACGACCCACCCTTGCCCTGGTACAGAAGTGAAACTGGGCCAATCGGCCAGCTGGTACGTTTGGTTTCTTTTCCCTCTTAACTGACTTGGCTCGCCCGGGCACTCGGACCTCTCTGCAGGTACGAGGAGGCCGTCACCGAAGAGGGTCCCGTGATTGCCATCTACTCGACAAAGTCGCCTCTTGGACCACCGCCTCCAAAGAGGCCGCTGGTGGTCGTCACGGCCAACTCGGGGGCACACCCGCAGCAGCACCAGCCGCCGCCGCCTCAGCAGCAGCAACAGCTCCAGCCGCACGCTCCGCAGCAACAACCTCATCCTCAGCACCATCACCACCAACAGCAGCAGCAGAACGACATAAGGGACAACCTCATCGAGCCCTCGACCGCCTTCGCCGAGGTCACTCTGAGCCCCGCAGGCGTTTCAAACACCATAAACATGGATGAGGTACGCACAAATTTCAGGATCTGTCGTAAATTTTGTTGTTTTTTTGTGAGTTATTTTTTTGCGGCTACCGACACCGTGATGGTGCAATCTAACCATGTTTCAGGAGATGGCGGCCATGACTGAGATGAGCCCGCCGCGCCCCGAGCCCATCCTGGTGGGCTTCCCGTCGCCGTCGCCGCCGTCCCCGGAGCCCGCCGTCCCGGAGGAGCCCGGCATGATCCCGGCCGCGGGGTCGCCGACGGGCGCCTGGCTGCCCATGGTCATGCTGCCGCCGACGCCCTTCTCGGTGGACTCGTGGGCGCTGCGCTACAAGGACCGCCTGCCCAGGCCGACGGCCGTGCGCAGGACCAGCTACAGGAAGCGGGTCTACGACTGAGGGCCGGGCGGCTCCGCTCGAGCAACGCGACGAGCAACGACTGCCATGCTGTTACCAAAAATTACTATTTATGTAATTTAAATAAAACTATGTAAATGAAAGAAATTTAGTTTTAAGGATCGGAGTGGTAGACTGTAGTAAATGTTACAAATTAAAACTGGAAAAAAAGATGAAGCCCGATTAATTTTTATCTTTTGCTGAAGCCGTGAAAGCGAGAGACCGAAACGGAGTCCAAACGGGAATCGCTAAAAAATGAGGGAGAAAAGGGGGTTGTCCCTTTCGCCAAGAGCACAGCACAGTCCTAGCAAATCTACTGAGGAGGGTGACCGAGCCGGCCTGTAGTTAAACCGACCCAAAAGTTATTTGGCACCAAAGTTCAAGCCCAATTTAGGTATTTTTCTGAAATGCTAACTAAGGGTTCTCCAGAGTATGGTTTGGATCGGTGCCAACACTGAAAAAAAACACATAATTTTGGACCGAGAAGTGTAGGTAGGGAGGAGGACCGTTTGGCGTAGAATGATGGTAAGAACCAGGTAGAGACACGAGGCAGGGGCAAGGACCATCAGAATAGCTGACTCGGGCTACATGATAGTAGGGCCAAGGTTTGGGTAGCAAAGGGTGCACCGCAGTCTCGACCGCAGTCGATAGAGCAGTGGTACCGGGACATGCGGTGGTAGTACACTCGCCGCAGGTCGGGGATGCTAGCTGGCTGCTTTTGCACGGGGTGGCGGAGTGGCGACTGTACAGTCAGGTACACAGTAAGAGTGGTGGGGTGGGACGGGGCGGGGCGGGCCGTGGTGAGGCAGGGCGGGGTGAGGGAGGGCCGGCTCGGCCGGCGCGGGCGCGGGGAGGTGGTGGGTACAGAGCCAGCATCTCTGGCGGAACGCCAAGATAGGGGGAGAGAAGTAGAAAGGGGTGCGGGCGGAAAAGGAAGGGGGAGGGGGTAACGAGTAACTCGCCAGCGGCTGGGGGAGGCCTGATGATGAGGACCAAGAACGAGTCAGCCCTTTCATACCACGACAACTATTGCGCAAAACTCCCGCGCCAGACAACCAGCCAGCCAGCCGGACTGCCAGCCTGGCAGCCAACCGCCACCACCACTCCCTGCTGCCACCACAGGCACGCGCAGTTCCTCACCAAAAGAGAAAGGGTGTCCTCCAACACTCCCCTCACCCTTCACTCACACATGCGCGCGCACACACACAGACTGAGCGCTCACACACATACACACACTACACACACACTAGACTAGGTCGCTCGTTATGCCCCGGCGAGAAACAGAAAAGGGAATTCCTCTTGACCCGTCTGCTCGGCTGGCGCTCACTGGGGGTGGCGTGTGGACGCCACCTCATCGCGTCTTCCCCGTTGTTGCCCCCCTGCCCCCTCTAAATCAGGCCACCTGCTCCGAACGCGTCCCCTTTGTGCTGCAAATACCCGCGCCACCCGCCCCTCGCCCCGCGGGCACGGCCGGCACGGGGTCGCTCTTCCTCTTGGACGGGCAAAGCCGCGGGCAGCGCGGGCAGCCCGGCGCGGTGTGGACGGACACGCACGGCGCCCGGCTGACGGCGACGTGTAGGTCTCATGGTGTTAGGAGAGGAGGACGAGGTTGGTTGGAGCGGCACGTCGGGTGGATGCGTCTCTGCTCATGCTCCAACCCCCCAGCACACGGGGAGGACGGGCGTGCGACGCGAGTGCGGCGTGCAGCACGCTTGACGTCGGTGTCGCGCGGGGAAATTGACGCCAGAGCCCCTCCCCGAAAACAACGTCACAGACTGTGCGCGACACGTGTACTCCGCGGTCTGGCTCGCGCGAACGACACGGGCCGCGCGGCGTCCGCGGCGTGCGCCACACGGCAGCTTTAGCGATGATTTAATCCAATACGCCTCACCCACCGGGCCCCAGGACGGCCTCAGCCTCACCGCGGGCCCTGCCCACCCCTCCTGCCCACCCCTCCTGCCCACCCCTCCTGCCCACCCCTGCACAACGCTCCTGCCCACCTCTTGCCCACCTCTGTCCGCCCCTGCCCAACCCTCCTGCCCACCTCTGCCGGGCCCTGCCCAACCCTCCTGCCCACCTCTGCCCGTCCCTACCCACCTCTGCCCACCCTGCCCACCCCTGCTTCCCAACCCTCCTGCCCACCTCGACCGTGCGCCTGCCTCCGCATCATCGCCACAGTGTCTGGTGGGCTGCCTACTAGGAGATTCACAGGCGTTCCACGGTGAGGGTGAGAGGTAGGCAGAGAAAAGCGGTGCACGGGACGGCCGGGACGGCCGTGGCGGGGAGCGCCACGTTCATGCGAATCACGGACAAAAACAACAGAAGAGGAAAGGACGGGCGAGAAAGAGGAGTAATTTGATAAATAAAATTGGCGTCGGTATGCAAGGGAAGAGTTGAGCGCCCAGGTGTGACGGGCACCGTCCCCAAGCCAAACCGACCAGCAACGGGTCATTGAGGAAGTCACGCCAAGCGGGCGCAGCGTGCCAGTGCGGAGGAAGGACGGAGCGGAGAGGCCGTTGGGGCGGGTGCAGGCTAGACCGGTTTGATTCATTTCGAAGGGGAGGGTCGGGCCTAACCCATCCCGGCTGGTCGCCCCGACCGTCCGCGCGCCCGCCCCACCCCGTGCCGCCCCGCGCCGCCCCCACCACCGCCACGCGAGTCTTGACGTCCCCGCCTGTGGGGTGGGTGCCGCCGGGGTGGGACGGGGTGGGGCGGGGCGGGTCGCCGCGCCCCCTGATGACCGGGGCGCCCGTGCCGGGCTGGCAGGAGGCGAGGCCCTCCCCGGCGGCCGGGCCCTGGCACCCGCCTCACTCGGCGGCGTACTTGCCCAGGCGGCGGTGCTCGGCTTCCTCGCGCCTCTCGCCCTGCTCTGCGCCACGCTCGCGGCTCGCTCCTCGTCGCCCTGCCTCTCGCGGATCACGGTCCGGGCCCCCCGCGTCCTCCAGCACGGCGTGACTGCGCGGCCCCGCTCGCGGCGCGGTTTCGGCACGCGCTGCGGCTCTAGTTGTTGTTAGTGGTGGTGGTGGTTTTGTGAGGCGGGAAGGTTTGTCCTGAACCCCGGTCCCCGCACCTCGGACGCCAACGTGGAGCCCACGGGGTTCCCGAAGACGCCGTCCCACAGCCGGAGGCGGGGGCCCTGTGCCCTGTTCCCCCAGCGACTTGCGCCCTGCCGCACCGTGCCCCGACGATCCCTCAAGGACGAGACCGACGTGCGGATGGTCGCCTTCAGCGGGGCCAAGGGCGCCAGTCTGTGACGGACTGCACTGCCCTGCACCGCATCGCACCCGCACCTATAGCGCCGGCGCCTACCGCCCGCACCAAGAGCCGGCACCATCCGCTGCTGGCAACTAGCACCGCAACTAGCACCGCAACTAGCACCGCAACTAGCACCGCAACTAGCACCACTCACAGCACGGTGAGTGTGGAGCCACGGCTGCAGGGTGGTCACCCAGGCTGACGTGCAGGAGTTGGTGGGGCCCTGCCACAAGGCAGAAAGGAGAGGGCATACGTGCGACTAAACACAGTGTGGATGGAATCACCCTGCTGGTAAAGGGGTCTGTCAGCGAAGCTAACCTCACAATACCATTAAAAGATGTACGAGGGAGGGTATGTGCAATGTGCAATGTGCAACCATGGTGCAACTGAGATTAGTATGGGGGACTCTCTCCTTCGTCAGCCTCGCTATCACTTTCTTAATCAGAACCAGGAGCTACCTCGGATTCCTCATTGCTATCTACACCGAGGGGTGAATCATTTATGCACTCATCTCTACAAGCATTGTGTGGTCGGTGCATTAAGCCCGGAGTGGAACCTACACTTTTGACGGGACCATCTCGCAGGGATTTTGACATGGAATGTGGTCTTTTAGGTTCAAAGTGTCAATTTAACACGTTGAGTCCCGGGGCGGGGGTTGGGGTCGCAATCACAGTCACACAGCAACGAGAAAACGCTAAATTTCTCAGCTCACAGACCTCCAGGGTGCGCGGGTGCGTTTCATTTTTCTGCGGAGTGGAGTCACTCAGGTCATGAGCTCCGAGATAACCGACACCACCCACGCTTCCAAAAAGTATCTGACGCAGACGGGCGGGGGGCTTTGCTCCAATAAATAGGATTGAGGGGGATATCTACCTATCTCGATTATCACACTCCACTTGCCACACCGCGGTGCTTGACCGAACACATGGCGGCCGGGACGGGAGGGCCGAGTGCCGGGCTGGGGGAGGGGGGGGGAGAGTGCTCCCAGGGGAGTCCCCGTCTCTCATTATTAGCCCGCTCTTTTGCTTAAAAGCTATATAAGCGGGCTTATGCCATCGCCTCTGTGTTCGTCTGTCTGTC